CCCAGGCCAGGTGCAGCACTGGGCCCTCATGTGAGGACACAGAGGGAGGGGCTGGAGGGTCAAAGCCTCCAGACTCTGATATTTGTTCCCTGGGGTCTGGGGCTGGATGGCCTCTGCTTCCCTGGAGAAGAGCAGGAGAACCGGAACCCCAACAGAGCTGGACTGGGGTGAGAGAGGTTAAAGCCCCTTACTAAACCAGCGTATCCAGACCAACAAACCACAGATCCTGGTGGCCTTGAGTTCCCTGTGTCCTGGGAAAAGGTCCCGCCTCCAACCCAGAACCTTTGGAGCAAAAAGCAGACCCTGTCCTAGGATACTTGCTGACTTCCACATTATCTGAGCACAAAGGGTTACTTTGGTTGAAATAAGCCCAGGATGTGCGCCAGACCACTGCATGGAGGGGAGAATATACTAGTCTGTTTACACATAGAATAAGGCCAGGGAAACAGGACCTCCACTTGGTCCTGAGCGCCTGGCAACTTTGCTTATTTCTTTTGATCCACAATACTCTGGAACTCGAAGAATCCCAGTTAACAGAAGCAGAAGGAATACATGAATTTTTAACAATCACTAACTTTCCAAATGAAATAATGGATTTAGGTAATTCTCATTAATGGATGTTAAAATCATCAGGTGAAAGGTTAACAGGGAACTATGTGGGGTGATGTTATCTAAACCCACTGGTCAACCCTGGCATAATTTAAAGTGAAATGTCCAGACATCATATGACTTACAGTAATCCACCACCCATAAAGTATTGGTGCCTAAAAATACTGATGTTGAGCCCACCTAACTACCAGTTTACAGCAACCACAGAGACTAGAGGGACATGGTACTTGGTATAAAAACTGAAATATTTCCAGTAAAATGACAAGCTATCTAGTATTTGTTTTAAAATACACTAGCAGGGGAAAAGAAAGGGTAAGTGAAACAAGAATGGCAGAGTGTTGATAAACAGTGACACTGGGTGGTGGATGTGTTCTGCATTTATTCTAATTTTGAGTAGGTTCAGAAATTTCCACAATAAAAACTCACATGCACATTGTCAGGCCTCTGACCTCTCTGCCACCTCACCCATACAGATGTCAGTTCATATTATATAACATTCAGCCTTAGGTCTTATATAGAAAAAATAAGGAGTGCTCCTGGAGACGTTTGAGAAACTCTTCTCCCAAATATTTTGTATTTGAAAAGTCAATTGAAAATAATGGTAAGATACTAATACACACCTATTTGAATAGCCAAAATCCAGAGAACTGATAACATCAGTTGCTGGTATGGACGTGGAACAACAAGAACTCTCACCAATTTCTGGAGGGAATGCAAAATCAGTACATCCACTCTGTGATACTATGATGATGGAGGTGTGTCATAACATATTTGCCCAAACATGGCCATAGACTATACAACACCAAGATGAACCCTAATGTACACTATGGACTTGGGGTGATAATAACATGTCAGTATAGGTTCTTCAATTGTAATAAATGTACCACTCTGGTGGAGGATGTTGATAATGGGGAAGGCAGGGGCCATGTGGGAAATCTCTGTACCTTTTTTAAAAAATAAGGTGCATTTTTTAAAAAAAGGACCATTGACATGATCTTTTAAACAATACAGTCTTCAGCATGGATAGGCAGTTTCTATGTAAAAGAATCTAAAAGGTCATTTCTTGGCAGTTCTATGGATCATCTACTAAGCCATAATAACCAGCATCTTCCACAGACAGTGCAGAGACACCTAGGGGTATGCATCAGCAAATCATAAGTGGAAGAACAAATGAATATGTGTGTTGAACACCCACAGAAGCACACACAGATAACACACCTGAATGCTGACCCTAACACAGACATTGGCACAGCTATGGGGACATGCACACATATCCAGATTCCTTCACAAGAACACAGCCACTCCTTAGACAGTGCTTAAGTATAAATCCAAATACAAACAAGTGAATTTGTAGCACTGAATATTAATGCATGGGTACAAGGAAGGGAAGGGTTTCAAAAATTAAAAGAAAGCCTCCATCATAGTACTCCTGGGACTTAAAGGTACGTTTAAATTGGTGTCTCAAAAAAAAAGTGAAAAGAAAAATAGCCTTTGACTTTTTGACCTTAATTCTTCCAACGACACATTGCCTCTAGTAGACCTCACTGCAACTAAAATCTCTCAGTGCTTACATAGTAATAGCTCCTAATTCTTTCTCCCCAGCTCATGCCTCTCTCCTAAACAGCAGACCTGCAAATCCAACTGCTTGTTGAACATTTCTTCTTGGATGTTGCATCGTAGAGAAGGTTATTGCAGTTGTACTGTAGCTAAGGTATAGGCTGAGTTTGTTTCTCTTGCATAACAATGCAGGGAGGGGTAGGCAGCCCAAGGCAAATTACATGGCACTGCCATCCTCAGCATAGGCTTTTCCTCTCCCTGCCGAAGGTGGCTGGATATCTTTCAGTCAGTAGAAAGGAGAAGAGTTAGGGGACTTTGCAGCCAATTCTACTAAGAGCAAGACACATATCACCTCTTCTCACATCCCATTGGCCAGAGTTTGTTTCGATGATCACTTTCTGCAAGTGAAACTTAAAGCTAGGAAGTAAAGTCTTCAGCTGGGTGGCCACCTGCTAGCGAAAACCATCTTTACAGAAGGAGGGCAGATTCTGCTACCCAGCCCTTGTCACATCAAGCCTAAGAGAACTCTTTCTGGCTACCACCCCCTGGCTCTTCTGATCTTGTCTCTCCTCTGTACAGCAAGAGCATCTCGCCCCTACCACCATCCCACACCACCCTACTTTTCTCCTTTGCCCAGACAAATCTTTCTCATTCCAAAAAATCCAGCTTAAATGTCACTTTTTCTAAGAAGCCTCCCCAACTTATTGTTCTAAGCACTTACCTTTTGCTCACACAGCCTGTATCATAATAGTTGACTTACCTGTATGTTTTAAGTTCCTATGGGCTAAGAACTATCTCATTATCTTTCTATATTCAGCAAGTGATACAGTAATCAGCACTAGCAAATAATAAATGTGTTTGGATGAATGGTTCTTTGACTTTAAATATTCCTATTCCCATCCCTAGCTGGTCCAGCATGTCTTAGACATGCCCCTCCATTTCCAGATGTATGTGGACTTTTTCTGCACCCATCTTTAGCCTGTTGTATCTTTATCCACACTGAATCTCTGAGATCTGAATGCCAGAGCTCAACGGTGATGAAAAATCCTCTTGTCCACTCCATGACTCTTCTACATAATGGATATTGGACCAAAGAAGTGACACCTTGGGCTTCCCTGGTGGCGCAGTGGTTGAGCACTAGGTTGCGAAGCTGCCCGCAGCCTCTGCAGCACCTGTTCTATCCCCAGCCACCGGGCAAGGATCCCACATGGTGTGCAAACCTCTCCTGCCTCCCACTTCTCCCCTCAGCAGTGTACTTTGTCGGTCTGCCTGCTCTGATCTCCCTTCTGGCTCTGGTGAATTCTCACACCCTCCTGCACTTCTGACTGTACCCAGTGCTTGTATAAATAAATAAATCTTTAAAAAAAAAAAGAAAAAAGAGGTGACACCTTCCTGAACAAAGCTCCAGCCAGTTCCTTCCCAAGTTGAGTTTGAGATCATGATTCCAGCTGACACTGGGCAGCTGTTAGAGGAGAGTTTTTCGCCTGCCATCCCAACCCTCATGACTGCCATAGCCCTCCTTCATGCCTAGGGGAACAACCCTATTTTGTTGTTGTTTTGTTTTGGGCTGCAGCAGTGGCTAGCAGGAGTATGCAGCCATGCTTTGTTTGAGCTATGATCTAACACTAGCTGACAGGTGGGTTTCAGGGGTGTCTCTGGGGCTGTGGCCTGTTTAGTGGATTTACCACTCTAAACTCAATTACAGGAGACTTTCACGCTCCACAGGCACCTCCAGTCCCTTTTTGATAACAACTCTAGTGAGTAAATAATTCATGATGGTGATAGGGGCCTGCCATTTAATATTCATTGAAGTATACATGTTTGGAAATTGGAAGTAGAGTTTAATCCATTTACATATTTATATCAACATGAACAAGGATTTTTCCCTTTTTTCCCATCAATCTTATCCATTTTCGTTTGGAAAATATTTTAATTGGAAATATCTGAAGTTATAATGATGAAAGTGTTAGCTTTAGATCTGTTAATTTTCAACTAAGAACTAATTCTTGTATTTCATTTGAACTCCTGGGAGAGGTAGGTAACAGGTAAACCCAAGTCTTTACTGTTGCTTATAGTTCAATTTGTGTATTAAATTTTACTATAGGATTTTGTTGCAAAGGAGAAGCCGGGAATGTGTTGATCTCAGCCCTGGGATCTTACAATTTTATGAAATGTTTCATTGCCATCTTGAGTAAAGCAAAGGCATCCCTTTTAATTAAAGGTTTTAAGACTCACAAAATAACCAGTGTTCACACTCATCAATAAAAATATTGTTCATTGAAGAAAACCTGAAACTGGGGGAGAAAGCGTTAATGCAATGAGGGTGTAGGGCATTGGTGTGTTGCCCCACCACTCCATCTTTTTCTTTTTTTTAATGTGAATGAATGTTTAAGTATGGTGCTATGGTTGATGGCATCTCTTTTAATAATAAAACACATGGCTTCCTGAGGGGACAGCAGTTGATTTGGAAACGGAATATGGTGCACTCTAAATCCTCCTCCCCAAGGAAGGCTGACTAACTGGTAAGTGCCATAAGCTAGCATGGGGACTCATTCTGTCAAATCAGCTTGGGGGGCGGGAGGCTGGGGGGAGGCACCATATGGTTTCTTCTCCAGTCTCCAGGAGCTAATGTGAGCAGACACTTGTGACATTAGCCAGTGTGGCAGGCCTAGCAGGAAGGGGAAGTTCACCACCACCAGCAAGGTGGTCTTTAAATGACAAGGATCAAGGAATCAGTGCAAATTTGTTAATGTAACAATTTGGAAAAGTATGCTTTAAAAAAAATTCATTCTATGAGAAAAGAGTTCAAGAGAAAAAGAAGCCAACAACAATACCTGGGAGCTTTCTTTGGGCTTGCTGCATCTTTGGGCCATTGTCCCTTTCTCCTGATACTTTTTTTGGCCGGATATTTTCAGTTGAGTGAATCCCATACTGTTATTCCACAAGCCACTCCACCCTAGACCATATAAAGTAAGAGAAAAGAAATGGAAAAGCAATGAAGAAGAGAGGAGAGAAAATTCTTGTGACTTTGCCTTACTGGATCAAAATCAGCTTTCCTATTTCACATGGGTGATCACCTGATTGTTTCTAAATGGAAATTTTTATCTGTCTGACCGTGCTGCATCAGACCCGGAGGAAAACTGAAGTGATTATTACCTGGGAAGAGATATGGTGATAAGAGGATGTTATCTCTCTGTGTGATACAAAATATCACTAGATGTCTATAACTGGATCAAGTTTTTTTTTTTTTGTTTGTTTGTTTGTTTGTTTTTAAGAATTAAAAGGCAGGACGGGGAGAATACAGCATTAAAGTAGCTAGGCAAATTTGATTGTTTTGCATGTCTGATTCAGACATGCAAAATGGGTTTGCCAGGCTTTCCCCCAATTTGGTTGGATCAATTATATCAAAATAACAGTTTGGTAAGGCAACCTTACCCCATATTTAAATCCGAAAACACACACAATATCTCTGAGTGTGATATGATGAGTAAGCACTTTCATGGCTGCTAGGAGAGCACAGGCTGGGGACATACACCTTAGCTCAGGCCTGGCTCTGCCAATTACTAGTTTGTGACCTCGGGAAAGTTGTTTAATAAAAAAACATTTACTTCATAAGACTATTCTACACCATCTGCCTGGTAAGAGTGTGTTAACATGCATCAGTGTGTGTGAAATTTCAAGATCACTGTCTGGGATGGATAAATGTGGCCGTGATCATTATTTAAATGAACCTAAATGGGTTCCTGTAGGTACTTAATGATGGTAACTAAAAAGACAAGTTAGGTGCTGAAATAAGTTTTAAGAACCAGGTTTAGCACAAGTAAACAATTTCATTAAAACACACTATTCCTCAGAGCCTCAGAGCATTATATGGCGCAGGCCATGCTACTCATGCTGTCTGACAAGGTCCGGGCATGGGGGAAATTCCTGAAAAGTCGGGAAGCTCCACAGCTGGCTCCTGCTACTTCCTTTCATTTGTTTATGGCAGTTATTGAAACCATGGAAATTTTCTATAAGCTTCAGAATAACACAATGAGTGTTGGCGTTAATGCCAGTTTCGGTAACGCTCACTTCAGTAGTTTGAAAAATGTACCTTCCAACATGATTGATGAAGAAACGTTTCCCAATAATTCTCCACATCCTCCAATTTGTAATTCAGTTACCATGAGTAACATTGAGTTCTTTAACAAACCACACTTGATAGAACTGTTGGAACTGAGTCTGGTAAAAATCCCCACAAGAGAAGGCCCTGAGGCGCCCCGGGAGGCGAAATGGTCCGAGAAAAACACACCATACACTGTTCCCATGGTGCTGGGACCCTTTGGTTCTATATAGAAAATAGGAAGCCGCCGTCAATCTTACAATGCCTGCATAATCTTTTAGCTTGACTGCATAAATCACATTGTGTATAGCACCTGTTTCTATTTTCTGAATAACATACATCACCTAGGGAAATAATATAACCAAGTTAATGTAACCAAGTAACCAAGTTAATCATAGACTGGGAAAATTAAGAAAGGGCTGTGCATCAGTTGATGATCAAAAATAAATTCCCAAACAATGTAAAAGTAAAATCACATGATTGCATGATGGAACGATCAAATAACAATTTCTGATGTATAAATAAAGTCCCGCTGAGGCTATCAGCAGGAGATACCTGCACCCTGATAAAGTATCTGTGTCTCCTCAACCCCTTACCCCCTCAGATTCATCTACGCCGTCTTGTCCTGCAGGGACCCTGACACGACATTTTGTTGGAGCTGGCCTCCAGCAACTATACATGGAAATCATGTATAATGAATATCCAAAGAAGAATTTACTTTGTAATACTTAACAATTTAAACCTTTTCCATAGACAATGTTGTCGCTCAAATGAAAGAAAACCAGTATTCCCAAACTCTGGCTCAAAATTTAAAGAAGTCTTTGTGTCATAGTGCCCAAACTACTAGGATAGCAATTGATATCATGCCGATTTGTTAGAACCTAGATCTCCCTTAAAATATTTCTTTTTTAAGACAGTATTTGGTAAAATGGGATTTTCAAGAGAAAGGACTATATATGTTAAAACATTGGCACTGCTATTGGACACAGCCAGGTTTAAATCTGCTGTTATCTAATAGCTCCAAACGTCATTTGGGTATAAAATGAGGGTAATAGTGATATCTACCTCCTCGTCTTGCTAGATGAATGAAATGAGGCAATGCCTGGCTCCATTAGCTATGACTGATGTACATATACCAACAGAGAGCTAATATTTGTCAAGAAATAATGAATTACTTTGTCTGTTCTCAACCACTTTATTGGTGCCTCTAAGATTGTAGTGGGAAAAGTACTGGGTGGGAATCAGCACCTGTGGGATTTAGAGCAGCACCCTTTGTGCTTGAGTAGTTAGGCGATGGACACGCACATAACATCTTTACCGAGATAACCATACCTCCCTCTGCCCTGTTTCCTCTCCCATGAAATAATGACACACAACAACAACAATAGCAGCACAACTTTCCTACTTGTCGCAGGGTTATTTTTTTTTTTTGTTAAGATTTATTTATTTACGTACAAGAGTTGTGGGGGGTGAGAGGATTCACCAGAGACAGAGTGGGGAGCAGAACAGGCAGACTGACTGATATACACTGCTGAGGGGAGCAGTGGGTGAGACAGGAGAGGTCTGCTGCGTCATGTGGGTTAGCTCCCTGGCCTGCCAAGGATTGAACCCCTGCAGCAGCATCTATGGATAGCTTCATAGTGCTGTGTTTAACCCCGTGCACCACCAGGGAGGCCCTGTCTCAGGGTTATTATTAAAAGCGCTTATGTAGATGATTTCTCAAACTAAAAAGGCCCATGACTTTTACAAAAATAATTTATAGAGAAGTTTACCATAGTCCTGGAAGTTTACCATAGTCCAGGAAGTTCACCATAGTCCAGTACTAGCTCTTGCATGTATACTTTAGAGATGAGGGCCTCCCTGGTGGTGCAAGGGGTTAAGATGCAATCTATGAAGCTCACTGCAGCCACTACAGCACAAGTTCAATCCCCGGCCAGGGAGGTGACCCACATGGCATAGCAGACCTCTCTTGACTCACCCACTGCTCCCCTTAGCAGTGTATTTCGGTCAGTCTGCCTGTTCTGTTCCCCACTCTGTCTCTGGTGAGTCCTCTCACCCCCCAAAACTCTGGTCTGTGTCCCAGTTCTTGTATTCTTAAAAAAAAAAAAAAAAAAAACCTTAGCAATGAGGACACTGAGACTTGGGGAAGCTAGGCAGTGTTCACTTTCTCCAAAGCCTCATTGGTAGCTAATTGGTAGCCTTGGTAGAGCCCAGAATCTACTCAAAGCTCATAGACCCAATGGGCTTTAAAAAATAATAACATTGAAATATATTTTAAGTTCAAAATTATTATTGGCCACATATGATTTATATCCCTACCAGGTTTGATAGACATTTTTCTGAAGTGTAAAATGAATGAAGATGAAGCATTGGGTAAAAAACAGAACAATCAACAACAGACCCAGTCTCTTAAATGGATGATTTATGTACACTAGCTAATTGATTAATTTCCACTGTGACCTATATATATTTTCTCTGACTATTGTTATGACAAGCATGTTTGAGGCCACTGACTGGAGAAAGTCCAGTCACCTGCATTAATTTATCTCCATCACCTGATAGCTCCTGGATGGGAAATTGACATGCACAGCAAGTAGCTTCATGGACTGAAGCAGAGCAAGGTCTGTCAGTGAGGGAAAATCCATATTAATGATATGCTATAAAACACTTTTTGTTAGTTACATATATTCCTTTACTTTCATTTCCCAAGAATAGCTCAGCTGTCAAAGCATTTCCAAGATTTCCATAGATTCGGCAAATACTGTGCGATCGAATTATTGCTCTGAGAGAAGCTACAATTAAAACACATTAATCATTGTAACAAAGGATCCTTATTGAGGCTGACAAAGATGGTGAAATCTGATGAATAATTAGTCTGGTTAATCTTTTAAAAGTGAATTAAACTGCTAACAAGTTAAATAACTATGATTTTCAAAATAAGCCTTCAGGGTGAGCAGAAAATGGGAATATTATCATCATTTAAAAAAGGTATTTTCTTCTTTCTCTCATCTGTGGGCATGCAATGGAGATCCTGGGTTAGTAGTGGACCCAAGATGAGCCTGGAGAAGGAGACCAGTCAAGGTATGAGAGAATGTTTTCCTCTCCCCCTCCCAAAGTTTTCTCAATGTATCTAAAAGAGTCATAGAGTGAATAGAAGAGGAACCATGTCTGGCTAGTATGACCAACTGCTTTACTATTAAAGCTTTCGCTTTGATTTAGTCCTGAACCCCCACAGAGAAGATGGCTAGAGATGCCCAATCACAGAAATCCCTCACTTTCTAATAGCACCCATTCCAGAGTGACTCCTTGAGTCCATAGATCTTTCCCCAAATTACCTAACCAAGACCCAAATACAAACCAAATAGGTACTTTCTGAAACCTTCTTACTGAAACATCCCATGGTCCCAGTGTTCTCCTCGGCAAGTAATAAACCCAACTGTGAAACTACAGCTGTGTTTCTGGATGTGTTAGGCTTAAGGTTATTTGGTAACTGGTGAGCTCTAATAAAATATAGGTAACTTTCAAAGGCCATTTTTATCACTTATCTTTTAATAAGCATTGTATTACTTATGAAAGGTAATTTGGGAGACTCTGTCCTAGTTATGTTCCCTGTAAGTGAACTCAGCTCTAAGCATTTGTCTCAAGAGTAAGCTTGTAACTGTTTGGAATGGTTCTTGCTCTTATGTCTCCCATGCTATGATATTACATAGTCCTGTAGGTATATATTCCACTACAGAGCACCAACCTCTCTTGCCAGTAGATTTAAAATAACAATAATATTATATAATGACAGTGGTTGCAAATAAACATAATTTTAAACACAAATAAAAACTCCAAATGGAAATACTCAAGAG